AAAAATTTTTAAGCTTTCTTTATAAAATAATTAAAAAAAAAAAAAAAAAAAAAGGCAGACGTGCCTGAAGCAGGCAGCTGTAATTTGATTGCTTCTTAAAAACCCACTTACATTGAGGACTGAAATTCTTTCCCAGCCTCAGAAAAATGATTTTTTTTTTTTTTAACCTTTCTACCTAGGTGTGACTGACTACAGAATTACCTAAAATGGTGACACACAAAAGGGAACTGGAGCTAGTCTTATGCTTCTACTGAAGCACAGATGTGCCTTCAAAGGGAAAAAGAAGGGTGCAGATGTTTTCATTCTGAGCAAACTTTTGTGTGCTTCTGCATCAAATCCTGTTTAGAAGTGAGCCCAAGTCACATACTAAGTCCTCCAGCTTTGGCAGTGCTTCAGCTCTGAAGATCAGATTTTCAGAACTGTTCAGCTGTCACAGATAATGCAGTACCAGTCCAACACTTGGCCTTTCAGCTTCTGGCCTTTACTGCATCAAGTCTTTTATTCAGAAAACAGATTTCTTATTAGTGTCATCTGTTAAACCAAAAGAGGAAAAATTACTGTTGTTGTAAAAGTTATTTTTCAACACTGCATTCATAAGAACTAACATTAATATATTTTTTTATTTAGGATATGTCTGTGGAAAGCAGGTTTGGCAAATACTTAGACATATATGGCTTCCAAGATCTGTTTTCTATCCACTACCAAATCAGTTATACCCTAACTATGAAGCCATACATATGAACAGTGAATTGGAAAAAGCACACTATTTGAACTCAATTTAAAAAAAAAAAAGAAAGAACCTTAATCAGGCTTTGAATCATTGCGGAGGCTGTAGCATTACCTTATTAAGCCAGTCCAAGAATAAAAACTAGGTGGTCTTACAGATATACCAATCACAGTACTACATTTTCTAAGCATAATTCAAGTGGTTTACTTGAAACACATTGCTCATCATTAAGAATGATGATAAATGGTAACATCAGTGTTGTTACCAGTCCTTCCCAACAAAATAAGTCATGTTTCTGTTACAATCACCTGTTTACAGTTACTTGAAGAAACTTCAACTGCTGAAGCTAAACTTCTCTTTGCTGAGCATATCTGTCTTTAAAAAAAAAATACACGCATACAGACAAAAGCCTTCCAACTTGCCTTCCTTGTATTCTGCTAGAAAATCGTTATTCCTTCTGACAGAAATAGAAGTGGGCAACAGAATGAAAAAGCTGAACTAAGTTCAAGCCAGTGCTTGACTGTGACTCATTTTTGTTCATGAATAAGGATGAATCAAGTCAGTACAAAGTTTCTGGCACTATTTCCTTATCATCAAATATGTTTCATTTTTCACATATTTATCATCGGTTCCTTTGGCTTGGATTGTTTTTGACTGATGGAGATAAGCTAGACCCTTGATTTAACTCAGCCTTAAACTATCCAGGTCACTGCAAGAGAAATATTCAATCACCTTTATATGAGGAACAACTTATAGTAGAAAATAAATAGAAACAAGAGCCTCAGAGTTCTGTGCAAAAGATTTCAGACTTTTGCTGAGAGAGCAAGAGATGAAAAACTCCACCCCAATCCTCAAGTTCCTTTGGTTCTTGCAGATCTCAATGGACCTGCAAAAGAAAAGTACCAAGCCACGCTACAATTTACACCGACTCAATCCAATCTACTTCCCCTGTAACTTAACACTCATATGAGCTTTATTTAATGAAGGGTGGTAGAGAACAGTGAAAGAGGCACTTGTGTTCTTGCATTCCTCTCCCTTAGATTTCTTCTCACTTGCATACCGTGGCACTTACATTATCTGTGTCATACAAGGGGACACTATGAATTCTAAGAGAGTTACGGAAATAGTGCAAGGAGCTTTATCTGTAATTTCAGAGAATATCAGGGACTGTTACTCTTCTTGTCATTCGAAAAAAGAAAGGCAGGCTGATACTTGTCTAGCATTACTAAATGCTAAATAATGAATGGATCATATCAATTCTGTACCATGACCATAGCTGTATCTGTAATTGAAGTGGATCAGTTAATCTCAGTTCATGTTTTCATATATGCCTGCTGATATACATGCAAACATGTTAATGAATCAATGCTTGGCTATAGTCTTAAAGTTCTTGCCTCATAGCTTTAATTGAACTAGCTAGCTTTCCTAACAGTGTATCAGCCTCTTCCACAAGAGCAATGATGATCACAATTTAATATGCAGTTTAGGCTCAGAGGAATACAACCAAATCTCTACAAACATGTACAGAATTAGTCAGTTTTTGTTCACAAAAGACATGGAAAAAGCTCCGGTCTTTTTACTTTGCAAGACAGCTGGACTAATGTAGTTTGCTAAAAACAGTCTAGAATTTATCTTGACATTTTTCATGAAATAATTTACTGTTTTTACTGAAGACTGAGATATTCAACTAGTTTGACAACTGCTTGAATATGGTTTGAAGAAATTAGGCTTTAACCACTAAATAAATTATTAGAAAATACATATTCTTTTATATTCCTAGGAATTTGCATCACTACCAGTTCCTTGTTCCTCACAACAAAATCCACTAACTTTAAAAAGCACTTTTAGTGGGGGGGGGGGAGAGAGGAGGGAGAGGAGAAAACAGTACTTTGCATTCTTTCAGTAAACAAAAACAGAACAACAAAAAAAAAGCTAACTTGGAAATTATTAAATAGCAGCATTTTTAAAATATTTTCTTTGAAATCAACATTTCTGTAGATATTATGAGGGCATAATTAAGGGTTCTTTATAAAGACGAGCAACAAACACCATTTTACAGCTGAGCTCAACTTTTGCTACTGATAGGAAAAAAGGTAACACCAATAAAATAGGCGCCTTTTTTGTTTTCAAATATACTGCTAAATTATGTTCCTCTCGCTTTTTATTAATGGCTCCTGCATTACAATATAACTCCAACCAATATTCACATAAGGAAATCAATGATTTCGCACACATCCAGGGCTTGCTTACATGTATCAGTTCAAATAAGCAAATATGCAACTATCAGAAGGAAAATGATTTAGCAGAGGGTTGTTAGTTAAGGTAGTATGGTTAAGCTGTGGTTGGACTCAATGATCTTTAAGGTCTTTTCTAACCTGAGTGATTCTATGATTTTATGAAAAACAACTATGTCCCTTGAAAAGAAAAGTCAGAAACTTTTGCAAGATTGTCTCACATTCTTCTGTTTCACTGAATATCATTTCAGTTCTCTCACTGACACCACAGAGGTTTTTCCTCTTCATTGCATCCTGTGGTTTGCACAGCACGAATGGTGGGAGCTAGTTTTACTAGCCAGCAGATCTGGGCCAGCTAGGAAGGAAAAGTAATCCTGTGCTGAAAAAAACAGTGACAGATTGCTTCCTCCCTGTAATAGAGGGAGGAGCAAAGCACAAACAGTAACTGAGAGTTACTCCCTGCCTGATCTGAGCCAGGGGGGACAACTGCCACCTAGTTTGGAAGTAATGATCATGCTGTAATTTAGTTCTAAAGAACAATTAAGTAAAGCTTTTCAAGAGCCTCTTTGCCATTCTTAACAATACCGGCAAAAACACTTTGTGAATACTCTCTAAACTTTCCCATTCCTTAAGACAGCAGCTTCTTATTGATTGTACCTTAAATCAGCCTTATCTTGACTGCTTGCACAGAAATTCGGATTTTGAAATGGCTGACAGTCATAAACAGAAGTTGCTTAATGACAGAAGGGATGTTAACTCTTTCTGAGTACCTGTTTCAGAATCCGTTGTTTCTGAAAGCCTTGAAAGACGCTACAAGGGCAGAGAGAAAGGGAAGATCAGAACAGATCATTTTACTGCTAGCAACAGACTGCCTAGGGACTTTTTAGTGCAGTAGATTAGCGTTGATGTTTAGTGACTAATACGATCCAGTGCTCAGTTAAGTCTGTGAAAGCCTTAAGAGGCATTTACGGAAAACACATTTTTGTTGTTGTTTCAGTTTATCACTGAAATTTTGTGTCACGTGAGCTTCTTTTCAGACAGAAGTCAGATCTCTTTACCTGATTCTCAATGCCCTTGGGCTGAAAGAGACAAAAATAAGATCCTCAGGTCTCAAAAGTCACCAATTTTGCATCAGAAACATTTACTGCAGATTTCCTGCCATCACATGATGATCACATGATCACAATTAGTGAATTTGCATGGAGGAACAGTTCAGTCTGTCAGCTGGCCCTTTCAATACAGCATTTCATGTCAGTGACAAGATAATAGAAGCTTAAGACAGAATTTGAGAGTCTGTGGGGCAAATACAAGACTAGCCTGACAGTCCAGATATTCATCCTGTAAAATGGAGGCATTAAACAAAGAAGGCTCGAGCAGAATTAGAATAGCTATGACAACAAGCAAAATAGAGGGGAAAAGATTCTAAAGTCAGGATCAAGAACCAAGGCTAGAGCAGATAGAAGCACATGAGGTCTCAGAATCATTGACCAGAGGTACAGCCATATGCTGTACACTGGAAAAACCATCAGTCAAGCTTTTGGGCCGGTATCTACATCCCCTGGGGGCAGACTGTTGTTTGGATGAACGGTGCTTAGATATCTGCATATCCAAGTGAGGTCTGGAAGAGATCTGATGCATGCCAGAAGTGATCAAGAATAGGACTTGATAGTAGGTATGTCTAGTCACACAAATTCTTATTACTGTCTCATATATACGAGGAAATATAACTAGTAGTGCACAGCGAAACACAGTAAGACATATATCCATCTGAGTTTGAAGGCTAGAGCATAAGTGTTTCAAGTAAGCTAGTAAAGCCAGTTCACTGGGAAGGAGGGGATAAATACTATGCATTGTCTCTGAGTTAAGGCAAACATGTCTAGCATCAATGTTTTAAACATCTTCAGGTTTGAAGGACATTAGAAAAGAACATATGTCACAGCTACCCCTCAAAAAACTCAAGTTACCTTTTCTAGTTCTCTGCATAGACTGGTCAGATTGTAGCTACTCTCTACACCGGAAAAGGATGTACTCCTCCTTACCTTTGTGCGTAATCTGAAACCCAGGAGTATCACTTGGCCCACGAGAAGAACTAGGTAAATCCAGGGGTCTGCTTCAGAAAAAAATAGTGGGGAAAAAAAAAAAAAAAAAAAGGAAAATCAAAACTTAATCATCTGTATTTCTATATGATTTTATTGTAAGATAAACTATTATTGTGCAATATATTACTTTGAAATATGTTTTTAAACACTTAAAATATAAGTCTAAGTGAATCATTTGAATGAACAGTAACTTGTTGATTGAGTACCTGCTAATTGGAGAGACTAATTTCTAAACTAGCTGTTCTTTTCAGATGTGCTTGTAAGTCACTGCAATCCAAAAACTGCTTTATAATAACAGAAAATAAATTGATGGTTTTATTCTAGTTCTTCACAGATTGACTTCTGTCATCATGACTTTAATTAGCTGGCACTCATCGAGATTGTAAGTATGGAAGGCAAAGAATGAAATTAAACAAATATTTCCTACAGTAGCACTGGAAAATACAAAATTTGTCTATACTGGTAAAATGTGGGCAAGTAGCATTGCCTACAGATAAGCTGATACAGTAATAGTAGGCATCAGTGAGACAAGGAAAACTACTTCTGGGAAGCTCCATTTACTTTTGGATGAGTGGGAGCAGACTTCTCTGGATTTTGTTTCTTCATAATCATGCTGATCTGCCTGCTAATCTGTTCAAGGGCTGTTATACAAAATAATTACAGTAGTTCCAGATGTTTCATTTATCTTACCATCAAAACAATGTTGTATGTAGTTGTGGTGAATAATTTCAAAGATAGTAACTACATTCTATCAGAAAAATCAGTTACTGAGAACTAATGTGTGTTCATGAGAACTTCATGTTCACACTACTTCAGGTTCACAAAAGCCATTCACCTACTTGTTGAATTTATGTTCAGTTAGGTAGGTCGGGCTTTTGAGCTCCATTAAACACGGAAATGTTATTTCAATGTAAATACGATTATCTAAAATATTTTAACTTATCTGCTTAACTGTGGTTAGTTTTGCATAATGCTAGGCACAGAAAGCATACTCAGACCAGTGAATAAGTTTGTTCCCATTGCCAGTTTATAGAACTGTTGTGAAATAACAAGCAGTCCCAGGAGCTTCCATGGGATAAACATCTCAGTTTCAGCTCTGCCTTGCAGATGAACTTATCAAGAACTGTCATAGTCAGTAATAACATTGAATGCTTTCAAAACTTCAGTATAGCCTTTTCCACACCTGTCGTGCAACCACAGATCCCGATACTAGTGAAAGATAAACAGAAAACTCATGGAAATCATTATCATAACTCATGTATGCAAATGGGTTTGGCATTTAAATATGTTATCGTATAAACTTTATTCTTTTAAATGTACAGCCAAAGTCATGCATCCTATGCCTTGATATTATGAACAACACACATAAAAATCTACCTCTCAAGACTTAAAGACTTCATTGATGTTAAAGGTGTTTAGCTTTTTTTTAATCCCATTCCCTCCTGACAGCCACCAGAAACACTGCTATCAACCAGAAGCATAGTGCCTACTTTTGTTTTATCACTGAGGTAACATTAAACTTTACAAAAATACATAAGCTTACATAAAATATAAACTTTCCACATCATATATCATATAACACTCGTTTTCTTTTATAATGCTCTCCAGGAATGATCAGGAGGCCAATCAAATAACCACAAACATGGTTACCTGAGATAATCAGGCTGAAAAGATAGTGCGCTGAAAGCAATACCAGATGAAATCAGAACTACAGATATAAATTCATTTTCTTGGGAGTGTCACCACTGGAAGTTTAAGTAAATTCAGAAGGACTTCGGGAGACTCATTGAGCTTTTCTACTATACTGAAGAATCTTAAGAGCCTTGTGTAAGAGAAGGCAAAAGACAAAGTCCGCTTAGAATTATCCACTGATTTTCAGTTAAGAGTTCATGTACTACAGACGATGACAGGGTAGTAACAATTCTATTTTCAGCCAGTTCTCTGCACTTCAATAAATACAACTGCTGTGTGTGCCTTAGAAGTAGCTAGTTAATGTTACCATCATCACTCAGAAAATACATTAGCTGAAGTAAATGCAGCCACAAGTATGGAACAATGTAACAGGCATACACAGGAATTTCCAGTAAAGAGTCATTGTATGCCATATGTTTTCCTAATATACAACTATATATGAAGTAGTCAAAAATGGAAGTCCAAAAACTTAACAGTCAACCTCAATGTGATATCCATTTGCTCATGACAATCCTCCCACTTCTTTTTCTGCTTTTCAGTGTTTTTTTTTGTTGTTGTTGTTTATTATTGCCAATCTCCTCCACACACTGTGACTTTATTCCTCCTTTCTATCTAGGTGCACACAAGAGATGATGGGAGCAAAGGAATAGCAGAATGAGGAAACTGCAAAATCATCAGATAAGCATTTCAGTAACTATATTAAGGCTTGTTCATGTAGGATAGAAGTAAGAGCAAATGAAAAGTCTTTCAAAAGCTGTATTTCTCTCTCCCTTTGAGCATTTGTGGAAAAAAAGCAGTCAGAGCCCACTGACACAGCTGAAGCATATTCTATGGGCAGCCATTTCCACTGTCCTCATTCCAAGGCAAAATAATTGCCTTGCTAAACAGACAGAATGCTAAGTTCGTAAGACTACACAGTTAGATCTCTATATTCTTCTATATTCTATATCTCAAATTGAAACTGAAAACATTTCACTAAGGATGTTCCTTAAAGTGCTAGAATTAAGATGATAAAAGGAAGGTATTGTCCTCAATTTAGAGGTATTATTATCAGAAAGGTGTTTGAAATGATAAAAAGGATGTTTGAGAAGTCTTTAAAATTATCAAAAACATACAGCAATTTTTGAGAAGATTCAGCTTACAAAGTATCTGTCACAAGTGCAAATAAATACCCACAATGGGTTAGAGCATGCTCCATTATGCATGTTAGTGAGTGGGCACGTGTTCATACAGGGCACAGGGGCTGCAGCTGTAAATAAATACTCATCAATGCAGTTACTACCATACAGCCCATGCCTGTGTATGTTCACAAGGTGGTGCTGCCACAAGGGAGAAATGTGCCATGGAATGATGATGCCATGCCAATCGATTAAAACAGAATGAAGAAAGAAGTTCATTTCTGGGAGTAGAACAGAGCCAGGTCTTCACCACTGGAAATGATCACCGTTCCACTTAACTGACATCTTAAAAAGGAAAAAACAAAGTCGGTATGCCAAAAATAAAGTGTAAATGAAGTTTAAATATATTTCAGTAGTGTTTTGTTATGTGGCCTAAACCTGGGGTGCAAGATTTAAATGTGATTTTGATTACTAAAATCCATGAGGAAAAAAAAAATCATTTTAACAAGTAAATTTAAAAATATAAAAATTTTTCAGCATCTCTTACTCTTGCAACCAGAGTTTTAGAAGTGTATCACTGGAAAAAGCTCATCCTGCATTTTCACTGATATCTTGGAATTGATTACATATTCAGGAGGCACCTCTGAGCTCTATAAAAATAAACAAAGCAATCCAACTACAGAACATTTTTCCTAGGTCTTATAGAACTCTACAATCTCTCAAAGAATTTACAGTACGAAATTTACTGTAAGTGTAACATATAATATGTAAAAAGACTGGGTAAACTTTATTTGTATTTCAGAATGAAGACAATTTAGGTCAGCCAGTTCTATCAGATCTTACCTGAGATAGGAAAGTTTCTCCTTTTTTTCCTCATTCTTCCGAGCTCTACACAGCGAGTCAATCCCAGACAATAATTCAGCAACACTTATTTTCTCTATGAAAGAAAAAGGTAAGCAATATATTAACAATTTCAATTATATTCATTCATTCACATATGTACGAACATAGAAAGCCCTAGAGAAGAAAAAACAAATCATCCTGGTTTTTATTTTGTTTTACAAGAAAGAGTATGAGAAACTTCTCAGGAAAACTACAAACATATGCACATCCTGCAAACAGACATTCTTTCCAATGTCATTCTGCAATTAATTTTGGACTCCAAACCATTATGGAAGTGGACCACACACTCCACACACACAGCTCTGTTTTATATTCACATGCATGGTGAAAACTAAAACAATTTTAAGCAGAAAAACCGCTTTAGAAAAGATCTGGTTAGGAATGTATACATATAGCAATTGTTTTAAGAGTCAAAGACAGCAAAAACATTCAATAGGCTTCAAATATGTACATTATACAAGTATTGTTTCTTTTTCCCTCAGTTGTATTCTCCCTCCAGAAATTTTCCTTAAAAAAAAAAAAAAAAAAAAAAAAAAAAAAGAGAGAGAGAAAGAAAGAAAGAAAGAATACTTTCCCTAGGCATTTACTTCCTCAGATTAACATATTCTCTTTTTTTCAATATTGTGGACTGCTTTACATTTTGTACTGCGTTCACTCAAAAACAGATAAATTTGGAAACTTTCTCTGAGCACCCACATAAACATACCACAGTGCATTATGGGCAAGATAGAACTGAGGATGCTCACAGAAGTAAGCCCCAATGTACAAGTTCAACACTTGCAAACGGAACATTTTTTAAGCCTTTCTCTTACAAACATCCATACTTTTCAGAGAGAAGCAACATGCACCACTAAATAATAAATAAATAATACAGAGGGATTAAAAAAAACTCTAACAGGTCCTGGGAGCCCTTCTCAACTCACTGCAGCAGATAAAATGCAGCATATGCAGCTTCTATGCAGTAACAGCTCACTGCAATTAGCTCGGCGACATTCCCCTGCAGTCTTTCCACACTCAAGTATGAGAGCAAAATTTACCACCAAATCATGGATCTCCAGTAGGTGGAGTGCCAAACCTAGAGGAATAGTGCTCACATCTTGAGATGCACCTACATAGAAGTACAAATTCCCACTGATCTTTTCGTACTTTATGATTTATCACTTTGATTTCAGAAATCATTCCTCTTCCGCATTTAAAATGTGTGTGTTGATTTAGGAGAGCTATAATGGATTGTTCTGTTTCAGTACTAAGTAAATTCACATACTCCATGAAGCAATTTAAGCGAGCTCACATTTTTGGCCTTCTCTGTATTTTCGACATATTCCTATTTTTGTGTTCAATACAATTATGCATTTTTACAAACTACATAATGTTTGCCTTAGAATTACCCTCATCTCCTTCTCCTCCGATTTGTACAACTTTGGGTCTTTTTGTTCTTCTCTCTATTAACATATCATTAGCTCCTCTGTAGACAGAGATCATTCCACAGAAAATGTTAATTTCAAATATAGAACCCAAGCAGAAAAATTATCTGCTTGGCATAAAACTTCCATGATTTCTATATATGTCAAGTACACAGAAAGGCTTTATAGTACATCTTTCAAATTCCTCAGCATGAAGAACTACTATTCTGAATGCCAGGTACATATCTTTTATGAGAAGACAATATCAGTGCTAATAGCATGGCTTTTTCAGCTGACATAGTCTTTCTTCTCTGCATGCAAGTTCGCAACATCTTCCTCACATTTTGGCACTTTCATTTCATACTTCACAGTTTTCTTAGTGCTTCGAGCTTTGAAAGATAGCTCATTTATTTGCTATACCTACATTCCACAAGTCTTTGATTATGCTATATAAAGATGTAGAGTAAGATGTTGATGGAGTTCCACCAGAAAAATATAATTACTTTGAAAGGATTCCAGAAACTGATCTAGTGTAACTGCTGTTTGTCTAGAATACAAACACCAGCAGCCTTGCCAGACTGCAAATTCATGAGATTTCTGAAAAGTTGCTCATTGCACTGTTTGTTCAAAGATCAGCCATGTTGACAACAGTGCAAAGGATACAGTGTTAGGTGATGACAGAAGTTCCATCAAGACTACGTGTAATAGTTATTTAGGATATTTCTCTTATATAGCCCCTATACAAAACATGTTTACAATACACATAAACAGAATGGTTGGAATCTTCCCCAGACACGGATTTCCTCTTAGCTATTCTTTAAAGCAGTGGTGTTTTAGGTCATTATTGTTCAGTGAATCCACTGTATTTTTTTTTCACTGAATGACTTCAAGCCAAACTTTTCTTCACCTCTCTGTTTTCTCAACCTCTGCTTCTCTTTTCACCTCAGCCAGCCATTCTGCTAGATAGCAGGCTAAAACAAATGGGTCTGCAATAAGGACCAGAGGTGTTCAAAGCCAGAGTCATTAATGCCTCTAAATTAGGGGAGAAAGTAAAAGGAAGAGTCTGCTGGTGACTTCAGGAAAAAGAAAACACTTAACAGTTACCTCAGAATACATTTTCTAAACACAAATGTATAGTTCAGATAAAACCAGATCTGGTTTTACATTGTTGTTGCTGTTCTGTTCAATGAAATATTCAATAATGATAATTCCCTTACAATGCACAGGGACTTTCTAAAAGTATAATTTAACACTCAGAAACATTGGCTTAGACTAACTCTAAAACAGAGCATGAAGTCATAAAGATGCACAGATGTTACTATTTGAAAACATTAAAGAGGTACTGAAGCTCTCAAGCACCTCCCAAGTTGTGTTGATTTCAGCAGTTATGAGTCATAAGGGAAGAAGATACTATTGAAATTACATGCCTGGGACACTTTTCTTTACCACTTACATTTAGGAAAAAACAACAGTGTCTTCAGAAATACTTAACGGGGAGAAAAGCACTGTGAAAGACTGCAAATACCAGGAACTGAAATGAATAAATCTGCTTACCTCTATTTATGCAGTTAAAAAAAAAGAACAATGCTAATGCATTACTCGTTTCTGATGATACCATGGAAGGTTCAGTAGATCTAATTTCATAAATGTATATAAGTAATTAAATAAATAAAAAGGCGAGTGTTGGAGGTTCTGAAAGTCACAGTACTGATTATTTCAGGGAAATGTTTGTATAATGAACTTGGGCAGTTCTATAAACACAGCAAAGAATATGAGATTACTCACACATGCTGTACCAGTCCTTCTCTGATTAATAATTGCATTGAATCCACTGAATCAACTAGGAGAGCAAATGCACTCATTTTATTAAAGAAGACTCTGACCTTTCCTGAGATCACTTTAGTAGCTCAAGACTACAGTATGTGCAAACAGAGATTTCGTGCTGAGCATGGAAGTTTATTACAGTGTGCTACTATGGTTAAACTCATGCTACCCTATCTTAGTATCCCAGACAAAATAGTTCTCAAATGAAGAAAATATTGAAAGAGGTGCAACCCACTAACCCTGCTCACTTTGGCAACTGTAATCTAAAATTTCTCAAGGCATTCTTTGGGGGTGGAAATGAAATCTCTGTGAGCTGGATAGCCCACTGAGTTTTAGTGAACCAGAATTTAACTAAGGCAGAGGAGAGGTAATGCTGTCCATGTTGCACTTTTGCCAGTACAAAAATAAAGACACACTAGAGGAGATAATTAAAGGAATGTCTGTATTAATAAGTCAAGGAATGGAGTACCAAAACTGGGAGAAAGTAAACATTAAAAAAAAATAGAAACTTCAAAGTTTTTTCCTCCCTGTATTTGTTCTTCAGGATTCTCCACGTAGAAACATCTCTTCCCTAGTTATCTTTTCTCTGAAGGAGCAATCTGATTTTTGCTTGTGCCTAGAGATGACTAGTTATCAACACATACTTCAATTCGTTGCTGGGTACCAGCTAGCCTCTCTTCGCTGGGCTTCCACTTAAGCTAATGAAATGAGTCAGTGCAAGTACCGTATCACTTTTTTTCCACAAAATGTTCTCTTACATATTTCTCTACACATCCCAGTACCAGTTTCAAACACCTTTTCCTATTAATTGTGATTTGGCCCTAGATGTTTAAACATACAAATTTAGATAAATAAATTTAGCATTATTTAAATATCTAGAAGGACATTTACTGAGAAACTGACTGATTCAGAGCACTCGAAATGAGATGAAATCTACAAAAATTCCCATCTTAATAGGAATTTGAAGAGTAAACAACACATTTGAATGTAGAAACTGTTTTCTAAGGCATCAGAACCACTAAGCAGACTTTCTCAACTTTCTTATCAAAATGCAAAGGAGATCTTTTCTTCCCCCTCAGAATTTAGCAGATTGCATCATACTGCAAGACTTGGGTAGCCTGCATAGAACACAGATAAAAGTCTAAAGGTTAAAGATGTCAGGAAGCTGGATTTGGTTTATAACTTGCAGTGCTTAGTGGTTTCATCTGTTTATCTCTAAATAAATACTTGACAAGGCCAAAGGAGTAGAGCTTGAAGCTATTTTTGCCAAAAGCAGTTTACTCAATGCTGAGCAGTTCAAATGTAAAAGGAAAAATTAGATGTACAGATATTTTCCTTCAGAGCAGCTCTTTATAGACCTGCATGAGATTTATTGCACCTCAAGTAGAACCAGTGACAGTTAAACTTATCAGCTGGCTAGGCCTGAAAAAACTGGAAATATTTCTACGTATGCCCATTACAATGCTCTTCTTCACAACACACAAAGCTACAACCTTCAAAGTAAAAATGAATGCAAAAATGTGTGGGAAATATGTCCCCTTTTAATGGAGAGTTTAGGGTTTTACACACACACGCACACACGCACACAGCCAACATCCAACCACCATGCTTCACAAAAAGTGAAGTTTCCTTCCTCATCACAGAATCAAGTAAAGTGAGCCCAAACCAGAGCCTTTCACACAATATTACATAAACGTCACAGAACAGACACAATTCACTTCACATCTTCCTCCTTTTCCTTCCACTTTGGAGTGATTTAAAGAATCATGGTGAGGACAGAGATGAAAAGATGAAGGTTATATTCAATATTAAAAAGCGCTAGCTGAAAATACGTTATTTTGATGAAAATTGTGACTTTAAATGAAGGCTGTTCTGAAAGTAAAGCCTCCTAATTTATTGTGCTGGCTCACAACATCAGAGGCAGATGCAGGTGGTATTGCTGAAGAGGTTGAACCTTCATACCAACATTATGTGACATGTTGTTGTCGTTTGACAGACGGCAGAATAGAGGGGCAGTGTGAAAAACGATGTCTGACATGGAAGTATATACAAAGCAAAGGTGAGTCACTAAATTCTGTCATGCAGAAAAATGGCACCTGCTGACATTCACTTACACTTGCTGAATATTTATGGAAATCAAACAGCGGATGTAAGCATGGTGAGGTGGTGCGTGATGTGTTTCAGCAGTTGCGACAGCGATGTGGAAGACAAGCCACATTCCAGATAGCCACGCACAACTGTCTCACCATGAAATGAAGAGCATCTCAATCAGCTCATACTCTGCTAACAGTGGTGACTACATTGAAAAATAATGTTTTGTAGCCAACAATTTAGCCTACTGGTGCTATTGTTCCCTTGGAACATATTTTAGTTTCCATGGAAATAAATAGGAGGCATTACTTACAGTGTGCCCTCTGTATAATTAAATTTTTTTACTCACTTTATCTGCTTTTTACAGAAATTGGTGGGTTGTTGTGAAAAATATAAAAGATTTCTCCAATATTTTTCCCCTCAATACTTCTATGAGAGTATGTAATTTACAAACAAGTATATACATATATATATTCTGCTCAAACTTCGAAAAGATTCTAAAGAAGCTCATCAGTCACACAGAACTATTAATTAACATAGAAAAATAAAAATGTTAGACTTGTAAAAAAAAAAAAAGTGGGCAAGTGGTGAATTGTTGAATTTCCTCCTGTTTTAAAAATGACATGTGAAAGAAAAGATTTCTTACCTTCTTGTTCCACAGTGTAACATGGAGATAGGTAGACATAAGCCTTATAAGTTTTGATAGCCTTCTGAGAAAACATAGGGTTGAATATTCCATAACATGGTGTTTCAGGTAACTTATAGAACCTTTCTTCTAACCAAGAATCTTGCAGAAAAATGCTTGGTCTTGCCATTCCAAAAGTTTTGTTATTATAAGGGCTGGCATTATTTTCCAAAACAGAGGCAGCGCTTAGACGTGTCTGAGTTGAGCCCCAGCGGCAATAAGGTACAGTAAGTTTTTGGGAAGACAAGGATCCTTTGCATTTCTGTTGATAAAGTAGAGACATGCTATTAAGGTCACAATAGTTTTGAATTATTTCTTTTGCACTGAATTATCTCCAATATCTGATATAAAATAGCAATGAAATAGTTATTTCAGAAATGCCACACATGAAACAATACTTCCCTTGTAAAGCCAAGCTTTATCGTTTTACTTTTATTTGCATTTAAAAGAAATCATTGGGTTTTTTCAATGAATATCACTACCTTCTTCCTAAATAAAAAAATATGTAAGACAAAAGTGAATAAATTCTGCCGCAGTTTTCAGATCTCCAAACATCTCCTGATTCCAAAATCTCTACGTATTGGAGTGCTGTAATATGAAAACCTTTGGCAAGAGCCAATCCCATCTCCAATCCAGAACTTTGAGATTAGATTTCACACCTACTTAGCAGCTGGTCACATACCATTGGCCCATTTTATGCAAATAGATTTTCATTTACTTAACAGTCATTTCCATTTATTGTCAGCGCAACTAAATTTCTTAAGGACAGCTTAATAATAAAGCTGCTCCATTATGCCATTTAGGAATGTAGTCAAAAACTTGTAATTCTATTTTTTACATGTTACTGCCATTTAGTATTCTATCCCGTTTAAAAACATGGTTGGTAGTACACAGATATGAAGCAGAGAAATCCCTGTCTTATCTAGAAAATATACTATTCAGGTCCCACTTCTAAAAAGGATCACTAAATTAGTTTTGTAATGCTCACATAGGTAAAATTAACGAAGAACTGACGTGAACTTCACACACATTTACTAGTTTAGCAAAGATTAATTACAGTAGTAATTACGCAATATTTTAGAAAGTTCCCCTTCCATCTAGACTCTGAGCCAGGTTTTGCCGCAAACTGTAATACTATAAATAAGGGGTGCATTCACATTTCCTGACCTGGTCTAGCATTAGGTGAAAATATCCTTCTGCAACCAAGCCAGTTCCTATTGGAACAGTAGAAAAGGGATGCAAATATTGCAGGGAGTTGAAACTAGATGATCATTGTGGTCTTTTTTAACCCAGGCTATTCTACGGTTCTATGAAGCAGCTTTTGTGCTGGAGCAGAAAGCACAGGAGCAGACTGGAGAAGGGCGGCGGCTGAGTAGGAAGAGAGGAATGAAAAGTAAACAAGTGGAAAAAAAATCTGCATCCTCAGCTAGGCATTTTCCTATCTTTGTGCAAATGTGATCCCATGAGATTACAGCCACTGGAAAGGCGAACTAAAAAAAAAAAAAAAAACTGTGCTCACTAAATTTGTTTTTATTAAGGAGACTTAAGTGAGTGTTGAAGATGTAGTAAAGGTAAAAGCAGATGCAATTAAAGTAAAGCTGTGGAATAAACTCAAATATAGAGAAGAGATAATGAACAGAAATAATAGAATTTACTAAGAGAAGCATTAAAATGATTGAGAGGTTACAATCAGCAACAGAAAGGAATTTGCATTCAGGGATAGCAAACTTGAACTATGAAAAGAAGTGATGAATACCAAGACCTATAGTTGCAGGGGATGGGTAAAAAATAAGTCATCAATATAAAAACAGTGCAGAGAGAAAGATCTTCAGGAACAGATAGAAAGTCCCCAGCTATCTTGCAGCATGAAAGACATTGTGCTGAAATATGTTGTGGAATTTAGCAGGGAGGTGGGGAGAAAATTAGAAGAAAGTTTCACCAAATGCTGCAGAAGATAACATTTTCAAAGGGAGAAGAGAATTGGAAGTGTCAAGGATAAAGAAAACAAATGAGAAAAGTGTGTGGAACACATTCTAAGCAATTCTCAAATTTGGCAATCTGAGAAAAGTTTCAGGTTGAGATGGGAAGCTGAGTGGAGGCAATTCCAAGTGCACGAGAATAATAGCAACTACTTTTGTTTGCAGATCCACTGAACGTAGTTTTCTAAAGAGAAGAACCACTGTAAATTACTAGTGAGACACGTGTCCGCACATTGAGGGTTGGTATATTGAGTATAGGTAGATAAATTTGTGGCCTACAGCATGAAATCTGCTTAAACAGATTGAAATTATTTTTACACAATATCTACAGAAAACGATGTTTTGTATATAATTTCAACTCATTTCCCTGCAGAAAAAAATTTCTGTGAATGCATATCACTTCATGTTGTAAATGCCCAAGGGATGTATAACATTTTGTAATAACTTTTGTTTTATGTTTATTCAATTAGCAGAGTTTTGTTAATTACAAATGAATTAATAAGGCTGCTTCTTCAGGTGTAGTTTGATAAAGAATATTCCCCTTCCTGCTGCTAATACGTTTGATTTTTTGTTTGAAGCACAAAAAATATACATACAGAAAAGGTCAGTTGAGTGAGTATCCCAAACACTAGTTCTAACAAGAAAGTATAATTATCCCTACAAATCGTAGAAGACCTCCAATTTTTCAGGTACTGAAACACCAAAAAAAAAAAAAAAAAAGTAGAAAGAAGCCATTTTGTATGCAATAATAAGATGGTCCTCTATATTACTATGGTATCTACATTACATAGGCTTTAAGGAGGAAAAAAAGTAGGGTAAACCTTCTAGGTAAATAGTTTAGTTTTATGAAGTATTACTCTCCATGTAACTGAAAAAAACTTATTTCCAGTATCTCGTTGATTTATCAACATGTTTACTAAGAAGGATCAATGCAGTCAGAAAACTAACAAGCTTGAAAACCATCACAAAATACATGGTTCAGAGAAAGTTACTTCCTGTTTCAACTGGGGTGACTGAAGAAATGAGATTTTCTATTACAGTCCATCACTGAGAAGAAATATTAAAATATTACAGTAAGGTTTTCTATGCAAATCTTTTTCTCCACAAGTTTTAGCTGCGCAATTAAGATTGGACAACTCTTTAATGTAAGAACGTGGACAAGTCACTGTATTAGTTGTCAGACAAAGATTACTGAGAGAAAAAGTTGCAACTGAGAAACAAAATCAGGTCTTTTCCACCAGTGATTTCAACCTTCGACATTACCAAGGGTCTTGTCTATGAGTTGATAAAATAGAGACCTAAGAAAACTTATGAAGGCTGACCACAGCACAGTCCTTGGTCTCACAATCCTCCTGTGCAACTGAGCTAGACAGGTTCTTGCATTGTCATCATCATCCTCATAATTTTGAGCTTGTTCAACTTCCCAAGCCTGATCACTAAAGATGCAAATGAACATTGATATTAATAATAATATATAATATATATCCTTCTATTAAGAAAAAGGATTGTGAAATGTGTTTTGCTCATCTTTCCCAAAAGTTTGTTTTTAGGGAAATAGAGGATTGTATTTTGAGCACTTTGTCTACAAACTTTACAGTTGTTCTTGGGAGAAGAAAATAGGATAACATACAATACTTAAAAAAATTGCAAAGCATTTGGCTTGTTTCAACATCTCTCACATTTTCATTGAGGGATGGACAGTATTAAATACAATAGCTCACACAGAAATTATCAGAATTTCTTTTAAAATAATTCATTAGTTACAACTTTTGTAAATATCTTATACACTCCTACTACAAAATGAGGATTGTCTATTAAATCACAGTATTTATAATACAGGCTAGCTAGTATCTACCTCTTCAGTTGTCAGTATCATTTTTCATGATCTGGAAGAAAATACTAAGCAACTGCTGACAAAACTTGCAGAGCATGCAAAAACTGGTGGACCGAGGCAAGCATTCTACAGAATAATCTGTTTCAAATGGTTAGGTGGCTTCATTCGAACAAGACAAATTTTTAACAAAGAAAAATGAAAAGTCGTAAATCCATTCAAAGGGAATGCAAGCCACATTTACAGGATGAGGAACTGGAAAAAAAGTGATTCTGAAGGTGGATAAGAAACTGTCAACACAGTGCAAAGCTATTGCTAAATGAGCTAATTGGATCCTTACAAAAGTAAAGGAATATTTAAATAGTTGATGTTTTGCATTATTTCTATGTTAACACTGATGCCACAAGTGCTGGAATACTACATTTACTCTGAAATGTACGTTAAAATCAAAGACAAAAAAAAAGGAAGATTCAGAGGTGAATTAAAAGATCGTCTGATATCAGAAAAATCTAACTGAAGAGAAGGTTAATATATTTACCTTCATCAAAAAAGCATCAGAAAATTACTTGCTCACAATGAGAGAAGCTAGAGTAAATCAGCTGAAAGTGTGGAAAACTTGTGTGAAAGTGAAAAAGTCTCAGCTGCTTAGAATAATGCAAATGTGCTATGTATAAAGAGGTCATATACATAGATGGTATATAGACGCTGCTGATTGTAAAAAATATCACTGCTTTTCATTTAAAGGGATTGGTACTGCTAATTTCCAGGAAAATGGGGAAATAGAGAATACTAGAGTTAAGAAAAAGCTGTTAAGCTGTTGCCTTATCACCACTCATGTCCAGAATAGGTAGAAAAATGAATTATTCACCAGCTGAAAACACCAAAGTATCCACTTTCTCTCATCGCTCCTTAAAAAAAAAAAAAAAAAAAAAAAAAAAAAAGTAAAAAAAATTTTGTTTAAAAAAAAAAAAAAAAAAAAAAAAAAAAAAGGAGAAAAGAATTTGGATTAGTCAGTCAAATAAAGAGTGAGACAAATTCAGATCTGAAGAGTATGAAGCAGCGTACGCAGACGTTAAACAGGGTTAGAGGGAACATTACTTGGGACCGCAGAGTGGGGGGAGGAGTGAGGGTTTTTGGTTGGTTGTTTCTGCTTGATAGGGAGTAGTGGAATTGGGAGGGTTGTTTGTCTATTTGTTTAAAACAAATATATGATTAGAAAAAAAGGAAAATGCAACAAAAATTGAATTACTTGCTTGTAAGCCAACACTTACAATTATGCTCTCCATAAAAAAAAAAAAAGTTCAAACAGTAAACCCTGCTGTCCAGTATGAACTTCTCATTTTCGTATTTACCACAGGAAAGAAAATATTCTGAAGGTAATAAATCACCCTATGAATGTACCTATGTGGTAAGAAGATTTTCAAATGCTGACAATCAGAAAGTAATATGTAGCAAAATCCAACATTTAAAATG